GACAAATAACAGCCTATATATGGAGAGGTAATCATGACTTAAAAAATGTCATAAATATAGTTGTCTGGCAAGGAGTTATTCAGCCGAAAGCAAAAGGAGGGTTAGGAATCTTAGACCCTTCCACTCAAGCCATGACGCTCTCAATCCAATGGATCAAAAGATTACTTTTCGACCCAAAGACTCCTTGGTCAGCCCTAGCTAAGGAACAGATAGCGAGATTAACCTCTGAAGTCCCAGAAGGGACAGATCCGTTGATATGGCTAGAAAACCGTCACTGGTCTATTCCAAAAGGTAGAACTCGGCCCTCAAGCCAGCCAGCGAACCCAAATCGTCAAGCCACAAAAATGGACATTAAAAATGATCCTTTTTGGTCTGACCTCCTCAAGACCTGGCGCAAACTACCCTTACCAGAGAAAATTTCTCCAAACCGTTGGGAGGAGGTCTGCCAACAACCTCTTTTCAACAACAGATGGTTGACTGATTCACAAGGAAGGATGTTCCATTGTATGGATTCCCTCTGGCGAGGCCTCTGGCGAGGTTGGGTCAAAAAAGGGGTCCTAAAGATTGGGGACATCTGGAACCCAGGAAACCGGTACTGGTACTCTCTTTCTGATCTCTTGCCCAACTTGCGATACTGCAGGAGAACAGAAAGATCACTAGACACAATCACAGAAGCCATCCCGATAGATTGGATAAGAATCCTCAGAAAAGGTCCCCAACTTAAAGAAAGTGATTGGGTGGGCATCCAAGGGAATTCCCAACAAATAGGAAATGTGGTATTAGTAAATGATGAGGGATCAATCTTGCTCTCCTTATTCTCAATCAATCACAAACACTGGCTCACTGAAAGTCAAACTAAGGAAACCGAATGGTTCAATGCTGACCAAGTATTCAGGATCTGAGTTCTGAAATACAAAGACCACTGGATGACCTTCAAACCATCATGTGCAATCAACAAATTGGCTTTAGATCCCATTTATTGGTCTTGGACCGTCCCTTTGGGCAAACGTAGAAAGGGCACTCGCAATACTCACTCACTAACAGTCAGATCAACATATCGCATGTTGAGGTCTACACTGGAATTGAAAGATAGAATAGAAACCAGGTGGATGAAACAGCTAAATGTAAGTAAGGACGATCTGAGATGTATCAAGTGGTTCAAAACTATTAAGATCAAACCGACAAAAATTGCCTCCCTACAGTGGCAAATCGACCACACATGCCTTCCCACGAATGATTGGCTAATAGATAGGACCTCGCAGGAAGAGAAGGGTATCGCTCTACCGTGGTGCCTGCTATGCTCCTCTGCATTCCCATCTAGGACCATTCCAGAAACCACCGAACACATTTTTCTTCAATGCCCAGCTGCAGTTTGGTTATGGCGTTGGTGGGACAAGATTTGGAGTTCCTTTAATACCCCCTTGAACTGGCCTTGGGATTGACGAGCTCTGTTATGCGAGACGTGGTCTCCAGACCAATTAGATGATTTCTCCCAAAACCTATTTATAACCGGCAGAAGAGTCATTCTCTGGGCCCTCTCGCAACGGCGCTGTACTTTTGAAAGGGAGGGTGTCAGGCTGGATGGTCCAGACTTTACGGAGTCGATTAAACTGCAGGTGCAAACTGTTATCACAGCTCAATGGGACAAAGTAAAAAAAAATAATCAATTTCTGACGAATAAAAAAGAAATCCAACAACACATCAAATCATTCAGTGGCGCTTGGCTTGTGGGATCTCAAGGAGGTTCGATTGGAAAGATCAAAGAAAGTGGGGTGAGGAGAGAGAACAGAGAAGAGCATAGCGAAGGAATTCAAAAAGACTACCGCCTGATATTCCATGATTGGACAAATGTGGATCCAACAGTACCACTTCGCCCTCTATCAGAGTTCCCAGATCCCTTCCCACCCTCATCATTATCCCTGGTTCCCATAAGTTGGTTTGGATACGAAAGAGGAGAATAATGATACTTGTATGGTGTAACCAGCTAGATAACATTGTTGTTTCTGGTGGACAGACAAGGCCGAAGAGGCTGATTTTTGTGGTGGACTTGAAGGGTAGTAGAGCTATAAGAAGGGTGGTTTTCAGGGTGACAGGGGAATTTGAAGGAAAGATAAGGAGTCTGGAGAGATTGGTCATAGTCTCCAACAAAGATATTTGCATGAGTATTTCGGATTATTTCAGAGTGGGCTATAGGAGGTAATGCTGCTAGGAAACCACGGGCATCTGGCGACCAGGCTCTGGCTGAAGAGGCAGTACTCCTTTTCTTCATTCTTCCCATACTTCCTGTTTTTGAACCATGTATCAATAATACCTGATTGAGGGACGCTGAACCCGTTTTCCAGCAGGTGCAGCTCCCCACCAGTAGACCGGAGCCAGTAGCTGAGCTGCTAGTGGTTGATGCTCATACCAACACCACTAGCAATCTTAGCCAGTTAAAAAAAGAAAAAATAAAATAAAAAAATCGGCCATGTGGCTATCACGATGGTCCATATAGAGGCCCCTATTCCTATGAGACTCCCTCCCAACCTACCACACTCGTAATTCTTCCTGGCACACCCCCACTTCCACAATCCTACCTCAATGTCTACCACTCACGTTCATCGCCCTCCAGTGATCTCAACAGGGGTGACTTGACCGGACAGCGGTTGAAGGTACCAGGGCTAAGCAGATTCCCATTTTTTCCCTACTAAGCCCTGATCGAGGCATAGTCGGATGAGCCTTGTCGCACAAGTACTTCGGACGCTAGGTATAGACATTTTGTACAAGTCCCATAGGTGGACCTATGTCGTTCATATTATGATTGTTTGTTGGTGGAAAGCAGGTTATCCCACTCGTCTACCTTGGGCTCACATGCAACCCCTTCCCCCCCTTAGCATTGGCCTCAGACATCGGTAAGTACTAGGCCACCCCACCGTTCCGGTTACCTCTATCCTTGACCATGCACCAGAGACCCTAAGGCTACAATCTCTCCATCTGACTTATATCCAACCTGCATCCCAGCCATTCTTTGTACAGGTATGTAATCTCCCCACCTGATCAGAATCGAATACGAGGCTCAGGTTATCCCACTGGTCTTGGGCTCACATGCAACCCCCTCCC